AGATAAAAGGAATCCTAATGGGGGCTTTAAGTTGGTAGAAATGATCAAGAAGTACTTCCCCATGATCCCGATCCAGAGTATGCTCCTATCCACTGCTCCAGCTCCAATAGAAGCAAGCTCTACGGCCAATCCAACAGCAATAACGGAAGCAGCAGAAATCAGTGGATTCATGGTAAGCCCCTCGCACCAAAATTAAGAAATGGTTAATGATACAATCAACCAATGAATTATGACTTATTATTCCATCACTAAGATTGAGACTATACGTCCAACACCATCTTTCTCCTTGAAGGAAAATCTAGGTACTCTTGTTCCCTTTGACATTATTGAACCTATTGCTATTGATGATTCTACTAATGATCTTGATGTCCCAATTGCTCATAGGAAGGGAGTTAGATCATGTACGACTAAGCATCCTATTGCTCAGTTCTAGTCTCGTAAAAACATTGCACCCTCATTTTGTGCCTTTTTTACTGCCATTGATTGTGTTTCCATTCCCAAAGTGTTGCAAAAGCCTTATCTATACCTGAATGGACAGATGCAATGAAGAAATTGGTGCTCTACACAAAAACAACACCTGGGAGTTAGTGAATCTTCTTGAAGGCAAGGAGCTAGTGGGGTGCAAGTGGGTATTCACAGTAAAGCACAGAGCAGATGGGTCAGTTGAGAGGTATAAAGCCAAGTTAGTTGCAAAAAGGTATACACAGGTATATGGGGTCGACTATGGAAAAACATTTACCCCAGTTGCTAAAATGAACACTATTCGAATTATACTATCCTTGGCTGTTGACTTTGATTGGGAACTCCACCAATTGGACATAAAAAATGTTTTCTTGAATGGGGATTTGGAAGAAGAAGTTTACATGATTCAGCCTCTTGGATTTGTAGCACAAGGGTGTGAAGGGAAAGTTTGCAAACTAAAAAAAAAAACCTTTATATGGTTTGAAACAATCCCCAAGGGCCTGGTTCAATAGATTTCACTTGGATCTTCAACAAATTGGGCTCAAGCAGTGCCAATCTGACCATACCCTATTTGTCAAAAGAAATCGGAAGAATGTTGTGGTATTGATTGTCTACGTTGATGGCATTGTGATTAACTAATTACGGGGAATTGGGACTTTGAGATTCAGAAAGTTAAAGAATCCCTTGCTATGCAGTTTGAGGTGAAAGATCTAGGACAACTACGTTATTTACTTGGTATTGAGGTTGCCCGCTCACAAAGGGGCATCTTCATTTCTCAAAGGAAGTATGTCCTATATTTCTTGTAGGACACGAGTAAGTTAGGAGCAAAGCCTATAGATTCCCCTATTGAGGAAAACCATCGGCTTGGTGATTGTACTGGAGAACCAATGATAGATGTCAAGAAGTTTCAAAGGTTGGTAGGAAGACTTCTCTACCTCTCAATGACTCGGCCAAATATAGCTTATGTTGTTGGTGTCCTTAGTTTATGCATGCACCAACATCCTCCCATTTAGAGGCAGCTGAGAGAGTACTCAGATATCTAAAGAAATATCCATGAATTGGGTTACTTTTCAAGAAACATAGTCATATGAAAGTGGAAGTCTATATAGATGCAGATTGGGTCGGAGCAGTTGATGATAGGAAATCAACTAGTGGATATTGTACCTTTGTTGGTGGAAACTTGGTCACTTGGAGAAGCAAAAAACAAAGTGTAGTGGTCAGATCTAGTGTTGAGGCCGAGTATAGGGCCATGGCACATGGAGTTGCTGAAGTGCTATGGGTAAAAAATTTGATTGGAGAGTTGGGCTTCTCTGGTGATGGTCCAATGTCTCTCTATTGTGACAACAAGACAACCATTAATATTGCAGCCAATCCAGTTCTTCATGACAGGACCAAGCATATTGAAGTTGACAAGCATTTCATAAGGGAAAAACTTGAAAAGGGGGAAGTTTGAACTCCTTACATCAGTTCTAAGGAACAATTAGCTAATGTCCTTACAAAGGGTCTTCACTATTTGCGACATAATGAATTATGTGACAAGTTGGGCATGATTGACATATATGCTCAAACTTGAGTTGGAGTGTTGTAACATGTGTCGTACTAGTAGGGGCATTTCTGGTTTTTTCTCTATTATTTGTTATAAGCTGTTGCCCTAAGTATAAATATTAACTTATGTGCCGCCAGCCACACAACTGCATAGAATTTCTCTTTCTTCTCTCTTCCTTCTCCTTTCTCTCTTTTATTACTGCCGAACTACAGGGTCCTTCTGGAATAGGTAGAGTGATAAGAGATAGAGAAGGGAGGGTTGTGGCTTTATACTTCTTAGGCCTATATGGGAAGGGGATTATTGAGAGCTGAAGTGCTAGCCTTATTACAAGGGCTGAAATTGGCCAGACAGTTGTGCATTGAGCAAAATGAAGTGGAAGGAGACTCCAAATTGGTTATTGGTTATAGGGTGGCTTCAAATGGGTAGAATGGGGATTTAGACTCACTGCTTGTCCAGACCTAATGCAGTGTAAATTCTTCAAATCCAGTACCTGGCATGTACCCCTATGACCAACCCTCTTATTATTTTGCTTACGTACCATCTCTAAGTAAAGACCTAGGAAGCAAACATATATTTTTATAGGGTAATGCTTCTGGTTGTTTATAACAGCTGGTGTGATGAATTCTCTGTTTATTAGATTTGGGAAAACTTGGGGGCCTTGCTGTGGTGGTCCAGGAGCTTGACAACCCTGATTCGGAGATACGAGCAACTGCTGCATGGGTTCTTGGAAAAGCCAGTCAGAACAATCCAGCTGTTCAGAATCAGGTAAGTAGTATTTTTTCCTATGCAAATGTTGGATCACATTTAACATCTAGCAGCTTAGGCAACCAAAACCTGGAAAGCCCGAGGTTTGAACTTTGAAGTGCCTTCAAAGCATCTGTATTTCTGCATGGTTTAGAGGTTTTTCTTGTGTTGGTATGGTTGGTGCCATTTAATAAATTTTGGCTTTTTTGTTTGAATTTTATTAAAGGCTATTGCTCTGTAGGTGATATACTCTTGGGCTGAAAGTGAGAGTGAAAGTCTGAGAGCAGCCACTTTGTGCAAGAAGTGATGGGATATTAAGTCTGTATCTAGCCCACTCCTCCCAAGACCCCAGAGCCATGATTTTTTGACGAATAATAATGCAATTTTATTAAAACAGAAACTGATTCAGGATTACAATCTCATGCAAGATCCCTTAGAGAGGCGCGAGCTGCAGCCTCTCTTGACATAATACAAAGAAGTTAGGAAATGATTACTGGAATCACAACTGAACCCAAAACAATTCTTCCCTATTTGCCCCTTGCTTGTCTAACACATCAGCCAAAGTGTTTGCTGATCTCCCCACCCACTGAATAGAGACTGACATGTTCCTTGTTAGCCATTTAATCTTCTTAACGTCGTTCTTATAGCACCAAATAGTTTCATCAGGTTTCCTTGACCAGCCCACCACCACCTTTGAGTCCCCCTCAATAATTAGTTGTTGTAGCCCCATTTGGTTTGCAAACTGCACCCCTTGTACTGCAGCTAGCATTTCTGCCCTAACAGGGTCACCAAGTCCCAAAGGACCCAACTACAACAGAACAACCTCTCCAAGCCTGTTCCTCAGACCTCCCCCCCCCCCCTCCATTCCAGAGGGCCCTGGATTGCCCAAGCTGCTACCCCAGATAGCCATCATTGGATGGTGGCCCTTTTTTAGTTTGAATTTTGGTGTGTTTATCTTCATGTGGTATATTCTCAGTTTCTTATACGGAGTAGCTGAATATTTTAGATTCTAGGACTTGGTACATTGGCAAAGCTAGTAAAGATGGTAAGGTCCAGTTCTCTGGAAGAGGCAACAAAAGCTTTATATGCTGTTTCAGCCTTGATCAGGAGTAACACAGGTGGGCAAGAATTGTTCTATGCAGAAACTGGAAGTTTGATGCTACAGGTAAACAGGTGAAGAATGAGGGAGTTCTTCAATTTACATATTTGGGGATATGGCATTGCTAGTTTGCTACTAATGGTTTTCTATTTTGTAGGACATAATGAGCAACCCAAGCATTGATGTTAGACTTCGTAGGAAATCTGCTTCTCTTGTAGCTGATTTGGCAGGGTACCAATTAGAAATTACAAACAAAGCAGAGCATCCTTTCTTCAGCAATCATTTCTTCCTGAAATCTGTGGTTGATTTAACTGCTTCAACTGATCTTGATCTACAGGAGAAGGTCTTCCTATAATACTGCTTTTGCCTTTTGTATGGGAGATTAACTGATTATCTAGAGGAGGTCTTCCTGTAAATGAGACACTAAAGATTTTGTTATTTTTAAAATTATGGAGCTTATCAGTGATCGACACACTGGGGCTGACATGTAGTTTATTCAGCATGAGCCCTCTTATCCACATGCACACACACAATTATGATAATGTAGCTCTAGCTTCATTTGTGGTAGTTGAGCTTTGTCTATTCTTCAACTTATGCTCTTTTATATATAATACACTATGTTTTGCAGGCCTTAATGGCAATTAAAAATCTCCTACAACTACAGACACCTGAAGCTCTGGTCTTCAAGGATATCTGTGGTCTGGATGAAGCATTGGAGAGAATGAGGAAGCAGCTAGAGCAGTTAATGGTAGGGGAAGACCAGACAGATTATGCAAGGGACCTGGAGAGCCTCCGTAAAGAAGTGGAGTGGATTTTCCTTAGAAAGCTAGAAAAGGTACTTACAGTGCTTGACTGTTATACATTAGGCCCGTCGAGAGGGCACTCCTAATGGAAAGTTATGGCAGGCACAATCTTCTACATGACATGAAGGCAAGCTCCATCTATCTACTTTGGACACACGAAGTATCTGGGATGTGGATTGCATAATGCTTATATCACCATATGTTACCTCATGTCTTGGTGCCAGGAGCTCCTTAAGGCTGAGCCAAGAAAGGTACTGTTGTCTTAAATCATCAGAACTATTTGGCATCTGCACATTTCGGTGGTGAAGGAAAAAAGAAAAATGACATAACGGACGTCTGGTAACATTTTTCTGGAATGCTTCTGGTGATCCAACTATGTTACCGAAATGGTATCTTACCTAAAAACTGATAACCATTCAACTGGTAGCATCTCTTTACCAAAATAAAACAAAACAAAAGCTGGTAGCATCCTAGTGATAACCGGGTATTCATTCATGTTGGTTTGTGATTGGTTAGAGTTATTCGGTTATCTTTCTGGTATCATAGAAGTTGCCACGTTTCTGGTACTCAAAACAAACAAACAGCTACCGTTTGCTCCAGGAAATACCAACTAATAATGCTACGAGTCTTATGACATTAGCCAACGCCCCTTAATAGTTTTTGTTCCATTGGTCAGCGGTCAGCCATTTGGCCCATTTCCCTTTGGTGATGGTATAATGATCCAAGATTAGTACCTTATTGTTAAATTAATTTTTTTTGAAGCCTCTTATTGTTAAATTAAAATTAGAAGTAGATGGTACAAAATTCTTGATGCTTATCTCTCAATTACACCGTAAAGAAGATTATGACCCATCACTGGAGATCTATGTTGAAAACATAGATAATAAAGGGATGGGGTTGTGCATTGTGGGAGACACTTTCCTTGAGGGCATGTATTTTAAATGGTGTGGTGAGAAATCATCTGGTTTAGCGCTTATTGGATAATGGATAGAGATCTCGCAAGACACCCTACTTTTCTTTTGTTCTTTCTTAAAAACATGTTTATGCATCCAAAAACCTGACTGAACACCATTCCCATGTTTTGAATTTCTCACTACTTGGTTTCTTTTTTCCAATAGCATGTACCTTAATTTTAAAAAATGCGTCTTCACATGGTGGGGCAAAATTGCAGCCCCAAGTTCCGATCAAGTTTCAAAAATTTGACATGCAAAACAAAATAATGCTGGAATTTTCGCCTAGGAGAAACAAGCTCTCCATAGGATCATTTCTGATGTAATGCTCTCCAAAGGACAGTGAAATGGTTTCCCACAAAAACGCTCTAGGATTGTAGATGGTGCAATCTCCAATCGTTCTAGTGTATTCCCCTTTTTTATGAGATCTGCTTTATCAGGGCAAATCTATGCCAGTATGCCCACACCATTCTAACAGCCTTTTGAAACCTTGCATTGAGAATATCTTCCCATGAAATAAAGCAAACAAGTAGGGAGATATTCTCAATGCAAGGCAGTAAAGGCTGCTTGAATGGAAGCCGAACTCCTTTTTATTATAGCAACAATTACTCAACTTTGCAACTCCATAATGTTATTCAATCATCAATTAAGCAACAAAATAATGGCTTTTGTCTAGTCTCAATAGTGAAGCACAAACCCTTATATTGAAGGCCTCGTTTTCTCTTTGGCTATTTACCTGGGCAAGTATTTTCCAACAAGAACTTACCCAGGTAAGTAAATTTTCCTGTGTTTTTATTGTCCCATCAAGTGAGACAATGACTATTTTGCCCTAAAAAAGAGAGAGTTAAAAGGGATAATATTGTCTCATCAAGTGTTGGCAACATTCCCTCCAGGTGGGTAAAGAGATGGGTATCACTTACCCGGGAAAGTAATATTTCAGGAAAGTGATATTTTCATGGGTCTCCCATGAATTTGTTAAATGAACATGGAAAAATCGGTTAATGAGAACTACAATATTGACTTTTCCCCCTAGAGAATATGGGAAACGAATGGGGCATAAGTATTAGATGTCTCTTTGGTTGGTTAATTAGGATGTCTCAATCCAAAGCATTAGTGTGTTTACGCTGGATAACCCCAGGGTTTTAAAGCCCTAGAGAGTCATATTTTAGCGGCCCATTTAGAGTGTCCAGACTTCGTCTTCATAGAATTGGTCCTCACAAGCACTTGCAGCTGTATATTGAGAACATCACCGATACTTGGGATGCTTTCATAATTTCATTCATGGGGAACAAATGCATGGCTGCAAGTGGTGTGAGGTGGGTGTGAGAACTGAGAACCATTATGTGGAGGGGATTCCCCATTAGACCTCTAAATCCCTAATCAGATTAGGATAGGGTTAGTTTCTAATTCCCACAAAGATTTTACTAGTCAAACTAATCAATGTTCTAATCTAATTAGAGTGCTTTCTAATTAATAATTTATCAGTTTTAACACTTGTATGATTGTCTATTTGGTTTCTTTTTTTTTATTTTTGGATTTTTGCTAGCTAGCCAAAACATATCCATCATATCTTGTTTGGTATGGTCTGTTTCAGGCAAAACGTTGTGAGAGCAACTACGAATCTACTACAACACAATTGTTCATGAATGGAGGGAATGTTTACATCGAGCGGTTGGGATTAATTCCTGTACATTCTGATATACAAATCAATTACAAAATTCTATATTGGCCTAATAATGAAAAATATGAATATTAAACATTGAATGGAGAATAAAAATGAATTATTTGTTAATAAAAATGTATTTTACCACAATATGAAGTGAATCTGCGTTGTGGTTGCAGAGCAAGTGACTAAGTTGAAGCATATATAAACTCCTAAGCTGTGGGCTTTTCCCCTCAACTTTCTGTTTTCTGTTTTCTCCAATCAGAGCAAACACATATTTTGAGAACGATAAATCTGTTTAACAAAAAGAGGCCTCCCCAAGCCCGAATATTGCTGCAAAGTTTGCAACAAACAAGAAAGAGGAAAGATGCGAACTATTAAATAGAATTATGTAATCGTTGTAAATATTAGGAAAACCCATTTTCCTAGCGCAAAAATCACAGGAAGGTCCTTTATTTTTAAATCCAGATTCAACCACTACTTCGAAATATAAGGTCTCATAAAGACCAGTAAGGCTTCCTCAACAAAGTGAAAATGAATATACTTTACTGATGGAAAAGGTAGTTCAGCAACCAATAATAACATTTCAGAGTTAGTGTGGAATGTGGGGTGATCCCAACCTACTCCAAAGAACATGTCTTGCAAAGGGGTCTGGATCTGGTAGGCACACTAGGTAAGCATAGTGAGTGAGTACATAATAGTTGTGTAGCATCTGTCCCAGCTAATGTGCTTTCATCTGATGAACATGATTTTCTTTTAACCTCCTTTAGAAGAACTGAGTATCTGTTATCCTTTTATGTTGGTCAAAAAATACTTATGAGAAAAAAAAAATGAAATTATGCTTCATTCCTGAATAAAAAAGTGCATAACCTAACCAAATTACCCATACGAGGAAAGAACTATATACCAGCATGTGAGGGGGGGTTGGGGTGCTTTTTACACACGTATGCACCGAATCGTGTTGGTGTTGGGTTTGAACTTAAATTAAATTTTATTTTTTAAAACATTTTTCTTCCTCTTCTTTTTATGTTTCTTTGAACTAGTACTTGTTCTAGAGAGACACATCTCTGTTTGTGAACGGACATCTTTGTATCTGTTTGGGTGACTAAAAGTACTTTACAATTAGAGTCTTGGTCGACCTAGTGATGCAAAACACACATAACATAGTTTTTTCTTCTTTGTCATCCATCCATCTTAGATCATTATCTTTGAGTGATTCACAGAGGTTTGGTAAACGAATGCATGCCTACCATTAGCCTGTGGGGTTGTTTTAAAGGGCAACCTGACATTATGAATTATGTATAAAGATTCCCTAATGAGTAGTAAGGGCAATTTCATAAATTCCAAAGTCTCAGTTGTTGAGAATAAAGGAAGGGAAGGTTACCCCATATTTTTTCAAAACTATGTGAGAGGTGTTTAATTGGTGATTTCAACTCGTATAAATCTAGTGAAAACAAGATGGGAGGTAGGGTGGTAATGCCAAGTCAAACTAGGGATTTTAACAATCTTATTTCAGATTATAGTCTAATGGAAATGGAAATGGTAGGGAACCAATTTACTTGGAAAAATAGGACTACTTGGAACGGCATGATTGGGTTCTAGTGAATGAGAATTGGAGAAGACTATTCCCTTGCTCTATTTAGTTATCGTGTTTTGATCCCACGATAACTAACATTGTCTCTCAAGCCTGGAATATTGAAGATGGTGGGACAAGAGCAATCCAATTCATTAAGAAAATGAATAGGGTGGTTACCAATTGGGCTTTGTTGGCGAAGCTAGCATGGCAACTTATTCAAAATCAGAACACTCTATCAGTGCAAATGTTAAATATGATATATTTCCCAAGAAGCTCCTTCCCCAAGAATCGCAGAGGAAACACAGATTCTTGGCTCTAACAGAGCTTTAAATATGGTTTTGAACTATTGAAGAAAGGCTTGGTTTGGAGAATTGGTGATGGTAATTAGATAAAACATATGGGAGGATCCATGGCTTCCCTCATCTATAGATTTCAAAATCCAATCCCCCCGCCCATCAAACTGTGAGATTTCGAAAGTAAAGGACCTAATACTTGAGAACCCCTATCGGTGGAACTTGCAATTGATAGAAAGGACTTTCACTGATACAAAAGCCAAAGATATTGTGACCATTCCTCTAAGCATGGATCCCCAGTAAGACAAACTCTTCTACTTCTATAACAAAAATGGTGAATACAATGTAAAATCTGGCTACCATGTTGCGTGGAAAATAAACAAAGAAAGTGGTAGCTGCCAGAGATCCACCCACCATAGACAAGTTGACCATCAGGTATGGAAAATAATTTGGATATTAAAAATGCTATTGAAAACACAGAATTTTTTATGGCGAATATGTTCCCAAGTTATAGGGGTAAATGATCTTCTAAGAAAGAGAGGCATTGAAACAACTACTTCATGCTTGTGTTGCGACCACGACACAAAGGATTTTATTCATCTCATTCTCAGGTTCGACTTTGCAAGGGCAGTTTGGTTTCTTTCCCCCTAGATCTAAAGGTAGATGAGATCTCATGCACAAGTATTGATGCTAGGGTAATAAACTGGTGCAACAATCAAATTTATCCAAGGGAGGAAAAACCAAAATGGGCAGCACTCTTTGGGATTATCTGCTAGAAAATCTGATTGGCTAGAAATGAGTTTATTTTCAGGCTCACAAATCACCCGTAGGGAATTAGTAAAATAGTCAACACACCTATGGTAGGAGCTTTTCCTGCTTGAAGAACAAGAAACCCCCCACTGAGATAGTCAGTGGGCGGGCATAGCTTTAAGGTTAATCGTGATGCAAGTTTTAACAAATCTTCGGGATGGGCGGGCATAGCTTGTATCATCAGGAATTCATATGGGGAGGTCGTCGGAGCAAAGGGTTTAAGAGTCTAGTGTACTTCAATTCTGGAT